GTGGGAGGGGCTGGTCGTGAAGCTTCCTGAGCTAACCTCCGCTTTTCATAATGTGCGTAGATCAGCGGTGCGGATGCTTTCAAATCTGCGCCTGAAATCCACCGAGTGTCGTCGCGATCGCATGCTTTGAATGTGACTTTGTACTGCCGCGGCTTGCTGCCGTACTTGCGATCAGAGATGAGGCGGTCAACTTCCTGATGACCGTCCATAGAAGGAGGGTCCTGCGATCGTCGGCCCGGAAAGTCGTCGCTCTTGGCTGGYGTGTATGTTGCCAGCTTCGAGGCGTGGAAGACCAGATGGACTGCGTGAAACATCCTTTTCCAGTGCAAACTCTTCCGCGGAGACCCAAACCAGATCGCCGGCGCGGATGGGACATGGTACGCGATGCCTGTTGGCTTGCTGCTGCATGCGGACTTGAGCCTTTTGCATATTTGCACGGGCTTGAGTCAGCAATTTCCTGTACTTCCGAACACAAGCGGGGGAGCAGGCAGCGTCAATGTCGGCTGGTCGAGGGAGGAGAAGGTCGGCGAAGATACGGCCTTTCCGTCCACCGTGGTGCAACTCGAATGGAGTGACGCCGATCGCCGGCTGCACCGAAGTGTTGTAGGCGAACTCGATGTCGGGGAGGCGGTCAACCCAATCTTTCTGGTCCGGACGGATGAGCGTACGAAGCATCATTTGAGCGGTTTGATGTGCCCGCTCCGTCTGCCTGTCTGTTTAAGGATGCCGAGCCGAACTTGGTTTCATTGTTGTGCCAGACTCCTGCATGAGAGCAGTCCAAAACGTCGACATGAAAAGAGTGTCGCGGTCGCTGACAATGTCTTCTGGTACACCGTGGCCACAAATCCAACCAGTGTGCAGGAGGCGTGCTAGCTCGGGAGCCGTGGAGTAGTACTTGCAAGGAAGAAAACCCGCGTACTTACTCAATCGGTCCACAACCGTGAGGATGCCGTCGTGCCCGAGCCGGTCGTGAGGAAACAGACCGGTGCGTCCATGGCAATGGAGAGACCGGGTTCCCGTGGGATAGGCATCGGGTGTAACTCGCCGTAGGGATTGCGGTTGCGGGGCTTGCTGCGTCGGCAAACTTCGCAAGAGTCGCAATACCGAGTGACATCGGTAATGAGGTCAGGCCATCGTAATCGCTGTCGAAGCCGTGCAATAGTGCGGTTGACTCCGAAATGGCCGGCAAGTCGTGAATCATGGTACTCGCCGAGGAGGCGAGTTCGAAGACGACGCTCGCGTGGGACACATAGTCAGTCCTTGCCTCTCGAGTGGAGGAGCAAGTACACGTCGGCAATGCGGTAATGGCTGGCCGGCGGGTGATCCGAAGATAGTTGTGCATAGAGCGTGCCGAAGTCCGGATCAGACTGATATGCTCGGATGAAGTGTCGCTGAAGCTCCTCGTCGAATGCGAAGGCATGATGTGTCATCGCGCAAAGATCAGGTCTTCGCGAGAGTGCATCTGCTGCGCGATTGGAGAGGCCGGGGACATGTTTCGGTGTGAAGTCAAATTGGTCGATGAAGTACATCCATCGTCCGATCGTACTGCTCACCGTGTCTTGCGTCTTGTAGTAGGTCAATGGATTGTTGTATGTGACCCATGTGAACCTACGACGCCCAAGGAGGAAGTGCCGCCAGCGCTTGAGAGCCATCACGAATGCGAGCAGCTCCTTCTTCCTTGCATCATCAAGCGAGTTGATGGGAGGCACTTTGTGGCTGAAATACTCCACAGGGTGCCAGTCGTCGCCGTCGTGCTGTTCCAAGACTGCCCCAATGCCATAGCCGGAAGCGTCCATAGTCACTCGCGTCGGCAGGGTGGGGTCATAGATGCTAAGGAC